AAATCTTTCATGTAATATATATATGCCTTGCAAGGCTGAGGTTACGCTGAAACGAGTAGACTTGCTCAACATGACCCATGTAATAATTCAGATCAGCACACTCACCGAACAGGAGGGTGAGAAATTGATGTTATTGGAGGAAGCCGTTGGAGATCTTCATGTCACCGCCACCAGTCCATTAAATGCGACATCAACCAAGCCATTGATACAAAAGGCTATGCCTGCACTGCGCGAGCTTTACAATGAGAAGACAACCAAGCCATTGATACAAAAGGCTATGCCTGCACTGCGCGAGCTTTACAATGAGAAGACAATCGATCAACATTTCAAACCAATTTCTTTTTCATTTGGTCCCCTCCACCATGTGAAAAAGCTTACACAGGGCTCGACATTTGAAAAGGCTGAGAAGTTCAAGCGACGACTCGCGGCGATGTTCATCAGCTATAGCGGGAATCAGAAGGAAGTTCTCTACGAAAATGTCAAGAAGGAGATACACAGCTTGAGGAACTGCTATGACCCCATCGAAGTTGTTGATTGGGAAGATGAGGAGTTGGCTTGCATGTTCCTTGTGGATGGCTGTGCTTTGTTGCATTTCATATTGCTTGCCGTCCAAGGTACGTGGGAGGAGTTGGGTGGTAAGAATGATCAATGCCTCTTTATGATTCATGATTTATTCTTACTTGAGAACCAACTGCCCTTCCAACTCCTTGAGATATTGATATACTCCTGCATCGAAGACCCACATGAACGAAGACGAAGTCATCGGGAGGAATTGAAGGATTCGATCGCCAAATTCATCAACAAGCCTCTCTTGAGTCCGGTCAAGGAAATATCAATACCAATTTATGATCAGGGTGATTCTCAGACTCATCATTGTCAGCGACAACGACAAGAAGAGCCTGTTCATCTTCTGGCACTGTTGCGAAGAAAATTGATAGGACAAGGAGTCAAATCAAAAGAGAAGCCGAAGGAAAAGGATGGTCTTCTGGAGAAACTGATGAGGAAATGGTGCTCTTCTGATAATAAAATCAGAGAACTGCCCTCACTTCGCAACGTAAAGGAGCTGAAAGCCAAAGGTATTCGTTTTAAACAGAGGGAAAAGATTGATGGCATCACAGACATTGATTTCAACCACCGTTCTTGCATGCCAACCCTTAGGCTGGCTCCCATTTTAGTGGACGACCAGACCATGCCAATTTTGCTGAACTTGATAGCATACGAGATGTGTTCAGAT